GCACCCGCCCTAAAACAAAAAACCCCCACAAAAAAAAAAAAAAAAAAAAAAAAAAGAAAGAAAGGAACTCTTGGGTCCAGGGGAAGACTTGAAAAGTGTCACCCAGGGAACTCTTCCTCTCACTGCTGTCAGCTCACAGTAGGGGCCATTGAAACGGTGCAGAGCCATCTCCATAGTGCAGCGGTAAGCACTGTGCACAGGGAGGCACATACCAGGGCCAGCAGGTGGCGTAGCAGTTAAGGCACTGAACTCCCATGTGATTGGCCACGATTTGGCCCGGGACCCTGAAACTCACACTGGACGCGTGTGCATGCATGCCCAAAAGCCTGCGAGGAGAATGGAGGAGAAGGGATTTCAATATGGCCATCTACCCTGGGGGTTGATTTCTCACTTTCCGTCTCTGTCTCTCTGGAGAGCACACATGCCCTATAGCATGAATTTCTCTCTCTTAAAAAAAGGCATATACCACATGGCCAACTGTGGTTTGAATCCCTGCCTCAGTAGCTAGAAAAATGTGTGTGTGTGTGTGTGTGTGTGTGTATGTGTATGCTCAAAATCCTGATGGAAGGGAGAAAAAGGGACTATGGTGTGACCATGCCCCATTGAGGGGTGCTTTCTCTCTCTGGCTATTAAAAAGAAAAACAAGAAGAATGAAAGAAAGAGAGAGAAGGGAAGAAAAAGAAAGAGAAAAAAGGGCAGGAAGGAAGAAGGAAGGAAGGAAAGAAAGAAAGAAAGAAAAAGAAAGAAAGAAGGAAGGAAGGAAGGAAGGAGGGAGGGAGGGAGAAAGAGAGAAAGAAGGAAGAAAAGGAGAGGAGAGGAGAAACGAAAGGAGAGGAGAGGAGAGGAAAGGAAAGGAAAGGAAAGGAAAGGAAAGGAAAAGAAGGTAACAAAACAGTCTTCTGTCACCCTCAGTGCTTGCCTCGGGCTTCCCAAGGCCCATGAAGGAGCATGGGTCTGCAGTGAAGAGGGCGACCTTGCTGAGCAGAGAGACGTGAGACCAGGAGTGCCCAGGAGTCCACCCCTGCCTCTCAGATACTACGGCCTCCTGGTGAACAGGTGGCTTTTATGAGGTGTGTGATCCCAGCCCAACCCAAGCCCACCTGGAGTTTCCTCGTGGGGGATTCAGGGAGCCTTTGGCTGGTGCACTGGGCAGGAGAGAGCGGGTGCTCCCAGCCTGGAGCCCTCGAGGCCGTGCTTTCCACACCACTGGCAAGTGACCACCCAGTCACCTGGTGCTGTCCTAGCATTACTGGGAGGCTGTTGATGAGACCCAGAGACAGGGCAGGATGCAGAGTTAGGAGAGGCTGGGAGAGAACTGGGAACAGGAGGTTCTGTAGTAACTTCAGCTCTTCATCCGTACGATGGCCTCCCCACTGGATGCCTCCCCACTGGTGCCGACCTCCAGACTCCAGCTACCTCCTCCTCCAGTGGAGGAGAGAGGAGAGCAGCCTGAAGACGGGGGAGGGCTTGGGGAGTTTGCTTCTTAACCGAGGTGAGGACGGTGAGGACGGTGATTCCTGCATTCCTAGTCCAGAATCCTAGATTCCCAGGATCTGAAAAGACCTTCTGGTTCTTTCTACCTGCACCTACTGTGCCTGAATCATAGCAGTTGCCACCCAGGTGGTGCTTGCCTGCCTGCCGAGATGGGGAGCTCCCTAGCCCAGGCAGCCTTCTGGGAGTGTGGAACGTGGGGAAGGTCTTTGTCCTGCACCTATGAGAGCCTCAGCTCTCAAAGGCACGTGTGTTGTGGGGAGCTCACATGTGTGAGTGGGGAACACTGTGGTGATGTCACTTGGGAGGTTAGTCGTGGATCGCCCGGCTAGAGCTCTGCTGCAATTGCTTTCGGGCACGAGAACGCAGACCAGTCCCAGCTGCAGACTGCTTGGCTTTGCAGTGTGTCCTCCTATGCCTGGACACTTGGCCACATATCTGCTGACAGGAGAACCAGGGAGTCCCTTAGAGGTAATGTGCCCTGCAACCCACATTGTCCACATGAGAAATCTCCAAGTCCCAGCAAGAAGTCCCAACAGCAGCCATCGTTGGGCATCATAAACACACGGGGTCATGGGCTCCTCTGTGATCCTGGCCTTGGCTCCCCAACAGAGCGCAGTGGGTCTCAGCTCTGCTCAGCGCACCCATAAAGAGCTGTGATGAGGCTCGGCCTCCACCCAGTCCATCCTTGGGGGTGCCAGGTCCTTGCAAGCATGCTCTGATTTGGAACATAAAATGGATACTTTTGAGAATCAAGACCCGACTTTTTTTTTTTTTTTTTTAGAATATTTTTACGAAAGGGGTGTGAATGGATACTTTTGAGAATCAAGACCCGACTTTTTTTTTTTTTTTTGAGAGTTTTTTGCTATAGGGCGTGTGCATTAGCCCGAAAGACAGAGAGACAGAAAGTGAGAAATCACCCCCCAGGGGGATGACCACACCGCAATCCCTTCTCCTCCATTCTCCTCTCAGGATCTTAGGCACACACGCACCTGGCATGAGTTTAAGCCACTGGGTCCAGGACTTGAACTGCGGTCGACTACATGGGAGTCTAGCGACATAGCCATTACGCTAACTGCTGGTCCCTCAAGACCCGACTTTGAACGTGCCTCTCACCTTGGGCTGCAAGTCCCTCGCCCTTCCAGGCTTTAGACTCACTCAGAACAGTCGCCAGTGAAAAATGTGAGGACGGGAAGACTGGTCCGCTGCGGGGCTCTCAGACAGTAGCCTTTCTTCAGTCTAGACCCGCCATAACTTCTGGCCTTTCTGACTCAGAACTGGGGAGCGGGTTAGGGTGAGGAGGCAGGGCCTGGCTTAGCTCTCCCCAGAGGGTGGAGGGCAGGAGAGGGAAGACTGGGAGGAGAGCCCATGGAGGTGACTAGATGCCTCTACAGTGGAGATGCTGGTCTCACTGTGCCCTGAGATGTGCCCCAATGTCTTCCCTGGAAAGACCTGGGGCAGCGGGAGTGGGGAGATTCCTGCACAACCCCAGCTCAGCCTGGGCTTCCTCAATCTCCAGGCAGCCCAGGTTATCCCTAGCAGCAGCTCTGGCATCCACACTGGAGTCGGAGCAACTCTGGCCCCAGGTCTCTGGGCCCTGTTCTGTCCCTGTGACCTTGACCTTCTGGTGAGGAGGGGAGGCCATAGAGAAGAAGGAGGACTCCTACATGGACACCTCAGTCCTGGGGTTTGGGACCAATGTGCAAGGCTGGCAGACACTGCCATCTGCTGGTCACCCATCAGAACAGCATCGCAGTGTGGCTGAGCTCTCTCCTGGGACTACAAAAAGCAACCGGGGAGGGAGAAGACTCAAACCAGAGCTCCCAGCTCTGCAGTGAACAAGCTAACCTGGTGCTGTGAGGTGTCCCAGGAGATGAGGGAGCAAAGGCCACGCACCCGTATTGGGATCAGGAAACAGGTTAGTGTGGGGTAATGGTTAAAGACCTGGCTTCCACACCTCTGCCATTCACTAGCTTTGAGACCTGGGTGAAGTGAGTTGACCTCTCTCACCCCTTGTCGCCTCATGTTTAAATGGGAGTCTGACCTGCCAGGGGTGTGCAAAGGACACCTAACATTAAGTAAACTTAGCCCTGTCCCTGGCTCGCTAAGCAGTGGCTTTTATTGCTAGCTGGGTCAGGCCTGGCCTAACTACCTGGATACCTAGTTATAGCTTCTGGTCTCCTTGGCGTGGCCATTGTCTGTGAGACGTTCCCCCTCTCTGGATTTGCCTATTGTGAATATCAATATTCCAAATGTTCTGGGTTACGTCTCCAGTAGATTGTCTGTGAGACCTTTCTGGACAAATAAGATACTTAAAAAATTTTAAATTAAATTTTAAAAATAAAAAAAAATCCAACTTGGAATAGAAACTCTTGAATCTCTGTGCAAGTTTCGGATGCTCCATCTTCCTATCTTGGTCACATAGAACTCAGGGTTTCCTTTCTGTCCTAGACATACAATGATTAGGACCAAATATGTACGAAGGAAGATGGGCTGACAGGGCCCAGGGCTAGAGGAACGAGGTGTGTGTGCCCTCCAGGATGTGGGGGTCCCTCAGGACGCAGGCAGAGTGCGGAGAGCACTGTCACAGGGCTGGTGGGATGCTGATGTTGCAGGAGTTGGGGGCTGTCTCGAATCTTCTGGTCACATGGCCAAGGCATCCGTGAGATTGGTCTGCAGGAGGTAGTCCCCCAGGCTGCCCTGCAAAGAATGGGGACACGACCTAGGTCATGGCAACCAGCATGCCTCCCCCTGCCCTAGGTAGCTGATCCTCCTCTAAATAAAGTTAGTTCAGGGCGGCGGATTGGCCGGCTCCCGCCCTCCCAGACTGCACTGCTGGCTTGGTGGAAAAGTTACAAGACACTAGTCAAAATGCTGGAAGTCGATAAAAATACTGGAATCGATGTTCAGAATCAAAACCAGACAACCCCCAGCAAGCCTTTACAAGTTAAAAGAGCAATGATGTAGCACTCTCAGCTAGGAAAGCTGAAAAACATAAAACTTGTTACTGGTAAGAGGCCTGGCAGGGAGACAGCCCTATGTCCCTGGGTAGTGGGTTTATAGAGATTTCCCAAGAGCGACTTCACAGATCCACATTTGGAAGGAGGGAATCCTTTGATTTCCTTTCACTTAAAGAAATTTAATTTGCAGATATCATCACACAAGTGAAGATTAAATATACGGGGCTTAAAACATTTTTTTCTTTATGTTTTTGCCATAGGGCACATGCACTTACTAGAGAGAGAGAGAGAGAGAGAGAGAGAGAGGAAGTGAGAAATCACTGCCCAGGAGAGGTGGCCACACTGCAATCCCTTCTCCTCCATTCTTCTGGGATTTAGGGTGCACACACATGTACCTGGTGTGATTTTTTGTTTCTTTCTTTCTTTTTTTTTTTTTTGAGAGGTTTTTGCTAAGGGCATGTGCACTCACCAGAAAGGCAGAGAGAGACATAGAGACAGAAAGCGAGAAATCACCCCCCAGGGGGGATGGTCACGCCGCAATCCCTTCTCCTCTGTTCTCCTCTCGGGATCTTGAGCATGCATGCACACGTGCCTGGTGTGAGTCTAAGCCACTGGATCCAGGACTCAATCCGTGGTCGACTACATGGGAGTCCAGTGACATAGCCATTACAGTAACTGCTGGTCCCTGGTGTGATTTTTTTCAAGCATCCAGGTCTGGGATTCAAACTGTGGCCGGTCACGTGAGAATCCAGCACCTTAACCACCACACCACCTGCTGGCCCCCAGGATTTTTTTGTTTTTAAATAATTATTTAAATTTATTTATTATTATTATTTTTAATTGCTCCAGAGAGAAAGTGAAAGAGAGGGAAAGCGAGAAAGCAAGCTGCCAGGTCCAGGACTTGTGAACAACAGTCAGCCATGTGGGAGTCCAGTGTCTTAACCACCACACCATCTGCTGGCCCTCCTCCCCACTTTGTTTAAATTAAGGTGATAATGAAAACTACAAATGACCGAAACAGCATTTAATAAGGCAAGGTCAACATAAAGTGTGATATGCCCTCACAATGGATTACTACTCTCCTGTTATAAAACTGCATTTGATTTTTGTGCATGGGATGGAAAGATGCCCACGGTACACCATGCTGAAACGCTGGGTGGGCAGAACAGAGCCGAGGAAGGCATGTTCTCAGTCTCCCACACCTGGGTAAGGACACACACAGCTGGTCGTGTGTGTCTGTCCGCTTTTCACTGCGTCTGCGGTGTTGAACGTCACTATCCTGCACCCTCGCCTCGTGTCTCCTCAGAAATCCCTCTCTCCTTTCTGCTTTGACTCACATTCTTACATCAATAAGCCCTCCTTGAGATCGTCACTATCAAATATCAAAATGAACCAATTTCCACCTAACAGTGAGTGCAGAACTGACAGATCATGAGAACAAAACAGAGAGAGTCCAGGAGCAAATAGCAATGCTTGAAATATTTACAGCAGAGTAGTGATGGGCTGGCTCCTGGGCACAGCGGTAATGCCCTGCTTGGGAGAAGCTGGATTCCACATGGCAACGGTACTTCAAGTCTCTGGACTGGCCAGCCAGAAACGTGCCCTGGATCCACCTGGCTGGACGTCTGGAGGAAGAGGATCTGGCATATGCAGACTCCCTGGGGGTGCTCTTCGCTCTCTCACCTAGTCGTACACGCTCCATCATTCAATCTTGAGTAAAGGAATTTTTTAAAAAGAATATAATAATGGCAACAATCCCAATGAGGGACAGGCTGAATGGTTCAATAAAAGTGAATAAATGGAACTGTATACTGGATTAAACACTCAGGGGGAAATTGGTCTTTGTGCTATAAACCAAAATTAGTTCCTAGGGAATCAAAGAATTGACTGTATAAAATGAAGCCATAATAAGCACACTGGGATAAATATGTGAATATTTATAGACTCTGACTATAATTCCATGGTAAAAACCCTCAAAGTAATGTCCAGGGCTTGTCATTGTTTATGACATAGACTGTTTTGAAGAGTCCAAGTTACGGATTTATCTCATTGGTTCTCCTGGGGAGAAAAGTCTTACAAATGATGTAAAAAATTCTAAAAGCAGAACTGAGCTTAGCAAATGATCACACTTAAAATCATTAATCATTTCTTTTCATTAAAATTTTTAAAAATCTTTTATTTATTTATATTTTGGAAAAGAGATTTTTTTCTATAGGGCATGAACGCTTGACAGAGAGACAGAGATAGACAAAGAAACAGAAGATGAAAAATCACCCCCCAGTGGGGATGGCCACGCTGCAATCACTTCTCTTCCATTCTCCTCTTGGGATTTTGGGCATTCAGACACACGTCCCAGGCATGAGTTTTAAGCTACTGGGTCTGGGACTTGAACCATAGTCAACTATGTGGGAGTCCAGCGACATAACCATTATGCCATCTGCTGGTCTCTTAACATCACCAATCATGGAAGAAGCTGGCATACGTGCCCCTTGATTTTCTACTTTATACACACACACACACCTGCTAACAATCCACTTGCAACTCCCCAGGAGAACCAATGAGATAAATCCGTAACTTGGACTCTTCAAAACTATGTCATAAACAATGACAAAGCCTGGGCAACTGTTTCAGGAGACTAAAGGGAGGCGATAGCTAAAAGCAATGTAAGATCTTCCATTAGATTCTTAATGTGGGGTGGCATGTGAGGGCTGGGAAGGGAGGGAAGCAGCTGTAAATAGAAGACATTGCTGGGATCGCGGTGTAGGAACGGAAACACGGGTTACACGTTAGACAATAGTACTTGGTCAGTGTCAGTCTCCTGAGTATGACCGTCACGCTGTGGTCATGTAGGAGAATTTGCGTGTTCTAAGGAGGAACATGCTGATATACTCGGAATGAAATGGCCAGAGGACCGCTCACCCCAAATTCCTTTTACTGTACAACACAAAGAAAGTAAGCTCTGTGTCTCATTTCTCCCCTCCAGGCTCCCCAGACTCTTTCTACTCAATGACAACAGTGCATACTCAGAGACTCACAAAACAAGTTTCCAGAACAAGCTAGCGCCTCTCTGCCAAGTGTGTGTCCCAGCTGGTGTTGCACGGTCACCCGCTCCCCCACGCCCCCGCTCCCTGCCATGCACGTAACCGAGGACTGCCTACACAATGATAGCACGTCTGCCTGTGGTATTCTATGTCCTCATTTAAAATGATGCTTTTGGAGGTAATTCACCATGGAAAGATGTTTACAGGATGGTAAATGAAAAAGCAAGTTACAAAATAGTATAGCCACCAAGAGTCTGTGTTGTTCATATAAGGATACAGCTTATGTGCAAGCCGAGGAAAAAACGTCAAGAGGGAAGGAACATGGAGGCCCTAAACTCATGTTTTTGTCTCATGCTCACAAGATGGCTGCTGTGTCTCCAGCAATATATCCTCTTGCCAGGTTGAAGACAGGAAAGGGGCAAAGAGCTTTCTCCTAGCAAGGTAAACCTTCCACAGGGACCTTTGTATATATGTCAGATGATGTCATGTGGCCCCTTCAAACTACAAGGGAAACAAGTATTTTACCTTTCCAGCCTCTCTGATAACAAAAAATGGGAAGTAGGGGACAGTGAGTGGCTTTTGGGTAGCTAATCTACAATGCCTGCCACACGTTTCATTTCATTTCAGTCACGTTCTATCTCATTTAATTCACAGCAATGGACAAAAGGTTTCTGTTAGACCCATTTCCCTAGTGATTAAAGACAAAGGGCAAAGAGACAGCACCCACCTGGGTGTCTGTGACCCAGGTCCAGCACTCCTTCCTCCTGGAGAAATCCTTTGTATGCCCCAGATCCTGTCTGGGTTAGTCATGTGTGCTTTATCATCACCCACAGCACCCTGGGCCTGCATTCTCATTGAAATCTCTGACTGTTGAGGGACCAGCAGTTAGCGTAATGGCTATGTCACTGGACTCCCATGTAATCAACTGCAGTTCAAGTCCTAGACCCGGTGGCTTAAACTCACGCCGGGCGTGTGTGTGTGCATGCCCAAGATCCCGAGAGGAGAATGGAGGAGAAGGGATTGTGGTATGGCCATCCTCCCTGGGGGGTGATTTCTCACTTTCTGTCTCTCTGTCTCTCTCGGTCTCTTTGGCAAGCGCATGTGCCCTATAACCAAAACTTCTCCAAAAAAAAAAAAAAAGTCTCTGACTGCTGCAAGGGGTCTGTGAGCCCAGACTTGTGCAGTCCCAGGCCTGGCAAGGTGATAGGCCTGGAGCCGTGCCAGGGAGCCTTTGCTGAGTGACAGCTGAGGTGGCCCCGCTCCTTGTGGAGGTGTCCAGGCCCCTGGAGCGCTAAAGCATCATCACCTTAAAAGACAGAGGAAAATCAGCAGGTCAACAAAAGACCCAGCCCACCAGGAAGGAAAGGTCTCAGGAGCCTGTCAGGGCTGGCCTAGATCTCCCCCTGGGGCTGTGGGTGTCTCTAACCCACCTCACTGCCCCTGAGGCAGTGTTCCAGGGGGGAGACTGAGGCCTGGAGTGTCACTCCCAGGGCAGCAGAGAAAGGAGGAATAGAAAATCCTTCGCAATGTGGTTTGTGTTACTGCAGCTTCAGCCATGGAAGGGGCTCCTTGAGTCAAGCAGGAAGCAGAAAATATCAGATTTAGATCCCACATTCCATGCATTGTATACAATTATCCACTGGAGCCATGTGGGGGCATGTGGGACCCACAGAGGCAGAAAATGGGATGGGTCACTCATTCACGGGAAACCACTCCGTGTGCCCCGAGTCACCCCTGGTGCCCGCCCTGGGGCGGGGGTGAGGTCATTCTATGTGTTTACAAGGCACCTATGACAGGTATGCTACCAACTCCAGCACTGATGGGAGCCCCTTCCCCTCCTCGGGTAGCACAGTCCTCCAGCTCTGCTGACAGCCGGAGGGTAAGTACTTCCTCGACCCTCCTGGGCTGTCTTCACCTGCTTCACCAGCTGGCTTCCTCTGACTCACAGTGAACAGCCTCCTTTCCACCTGTGCCTCCCTCATCAGAGGCTCCAGCCCAGGTCGGCCTCGGGAGGTCCAGAGCCGTAGATCCAGCTGCCATGATTTCCTGGCCCTCACCGACTACCCATCCAAAATGGAGCACATCACTCCCCAGCCATGTGCCACTCCTCCAGGTGCCCTGTCCCGGACAATGGTGCCCTTGCCCGGTCACTGCAGGAGTCGAACCACAGTGGCATCTTCACTCCTGCTGCCCACATGCATTTGCCCCGGCAGGACCAGTTTCTCCTAAGTCTCTCTTGCCTGCCCCCTCTCCACCTGGGCGGCCATCACCCTAGCTCACGCCACCATCATTTGCAGCCTGGGCCTTTCTGCGGTCCTGCTCATCTCTGGCCTTCAGCATCACATGCTCCAGCCACTGCCCACAGCCCAGCTGGCCGGGCCACTCCTATGTCCACAGCCCTCCAACGGGGTCATGCTGGCCTCTTCCCCTCCTTCCCTGACATGTGCTGCCTCACGTTGAGGGCTCTGCACATGACAATCCTTCTCTCTTCTACCCAGTCTTCCTATTTTTTTTAAAGAATTATTTATTTAATTTTATGTATCATCATTATTATTATTATTTTAAATTTGAACACAGAGATAGAAGGAAAGTGAGAAAGCAAGCTGCCAGGTCTGGGATTCGAAACATGGTCAGCCATTTGGGAGTTCAGCGCCTCAACTACCATGCCACCTGCTGCCACCCCCTCCCCCCCCGCATCTTTTATCCAGTCTTACGTCTTCAGTTTATCTTGGGCTTTGGCTCCAAGTCTTTTCTGACCCCCAGGCCTTCCCCAAGTACCAGGGCAAAGAGGCCCATGGGAAGCAGTGACTGCGTGTGCTCATCATGTTCTCAGCACACAGCACGTCGCATGCACTGGACAAGTGTTCGTGCAACTATGACTGCTGACCCGTGCACTACCGCCGGACTCTTGGGAGGCTAAGGCTTGGACTGCTCTGTTCCCTTTTCTTTTTCTATTAGCAGACAGGGTCTGCAAAGGACGTGGCCATTCTCCTGCCTGAGCCTCCCTGCTGGGACCACAGGCATGCACCACCAGACCCGGCTCTTTTCAGACAGTGCCCAGCCGGCCTCCTGCCTCATCTTCCAAGTTACCAGGGTCACAGGAGCATGCTCTTGCACCTGGCCTTCTGGTTGGACAGGGAATTGAACCTGGGCCTCCCGTGTGGTCCCAACCTGTGGAGCAATCTCTGCAGTGCACAGGATGGTTGCGGACATCCAAACTTCCTCCCCCTAACGTGAAGAATGGCCACTCAAACAAGACATGGCAGACCTTTTGCTACCAGGACCCCAGCCCCACAGGCTGGCCGCCAGCAGCCAAACCAGGTCAGAGCTCCTCCCTGCAGCCTCCACTGGCCTCCCCAGAACTGGCCTCCCAGGGTGCCTCCCATTCATTACTGTGCATTTCCTCTAAACGAATGGAAAGGAACCCCCAGAGGCCTGTGAACATACCTAATTATTCAGGAGACACTCGGGGAAGGTGATTTCCAGGCAATGACGGTGATGGTGGCAGTGCTGGAGAAACCCAAGACAGTCTTGTCACCAGGTCGTGACTTCTCCTGTCCCTGCATCTGTTGCCCTCCCCCACTGGGGCCCTAACAGAGAAGGACAGGGGTTTACACCTTCTTTGCCTGGGCTACTCCGGCAGGGGACACACCTGTTGCTCATGGAGACTTGTGGGCAGGTCTAGGACTCCCACAGGCCTTCCCCACACCTCAGCCCCCTTGTGAGGGGCGCTGGACTCTTGACCTCATTGCCCTCTCCCCAGCTGTGGACCCAAAAGCAGGGCTGGAAGCAAGCCAGCGGCTGGGAGGCACCTACCCTGGGGTCTGTCAGCCACCAGGGAGAGGCTCTGTGCCACCCTCTGAAAGAGTGCCCGCCAGGGAGGGTAGAGCCGGGCAGGAGAGGGGAAGAGGGTGGCGGGCCAGGGCTCACCTGCACGCAGGGGCCGGGGCTGCCGGGTCGCCTCCCCGCGTGACTGCGAAGCCTCCGGCGGCTGGAACAGAGGCCAGCCTGGTAGGTATCTGCTGACCACCCGCTGAGTACACGGGCCCCGCGGGAAGGAAGGGACAGCAGCTCGTGACGGAGCTGGCAGCAGACACGGCAGAGCCCCGTGCCTCCCGCGCGTAACCGCTAGAACGACTCCTGGTGTCCCTCGTGGCTGGCCCCGCGCTAAGCGTTGTGCGGAGCCGCGGCGTGCACAGACACGCTGGGATCGCTCCGGGTCACCCCCGGACCCGACGTGCACAGCCGGCCACCAGGGGGCGGCCTGGCGCG